TCTTCTTCTTGCTTTACGGCGGATCGCAGACTTATAAGTGCATTACCGCCACCTATCTCTCAAATAAACCATTGACACTCTATCTACAATCTCAATTAGGAGAGTCAATGGTCCATTTGAGAGAGAGGTGGCGGTAATGCACTTATAAGTCTGTGGCTGTCGAGGACGTCTTTACACATCAATGTATCGTCATGAGCCGCAGGGTTTAATCTGGTTTTGTTTGTGTATGTTTTTTTGACTCTCAAAGCCGTGATTCCCATCCACCTCCATTATATGACTGACATCCCTTTAATACTATAGTGCTTTAAAACAAATTGAAATATGAGTATTTCTGAAAGAAAAACAGGCATAGGACTAAACCGGTCCGGGATGGAGATCTGAGGTGAAGCAGCATTGACCTCCATCAGAAGTGCATGGGTTCCACAGGAGGAAGCTGACGTGATGATTCACTGCGGTTTAGACGAACCGTCAGAACCAAAGCCCATCTTCCTCTTTCTCTCCGCAGCCGCCAGCTGTACAGCAATGATAAAATATATCCGTTCAAACACGCACTTCTCTGTTCACACTCCTGCCCAGCAGCTCTTTTCAGAGAACCTCAGTGCTGCGGAAGCTCCGACACAAATAAAGAGCTGAAATGCATCTGCTGCACGTAAGGTGGTTTTGAGTGAACATCAAGATGGATTTGTGGTATCTAATGGACACTTCCAGACAGCGCTCGGGAAAGACGGCTTAGATGTGTGTTGATTCTGTGCCAAGATGTCAATTAGATGAAATCAGCATTGGTGTCACAATGGTTTTCTCAAAATATGTTGTTTTAAAAATCTGTATTTCATCTGAGCTGTACAACAAAAGCAGAAAAGCTCAAAAAGGACAGAAAAGAAACAAAAGTAGTTTATATTAAAACATTTTTTCATTTTTTGAACATTCAGAAATAATGTTTCTAGAACTCAACAGTGAAACGTTCTTTGATCATCGTTGATATAATGTTTTAGAACATTTTAGTTGGACATTCTTCTAGAATTTTTCGAATGTTACTACTTGTTTAGGAATGTTCAGAGAACAATCAAAAGTAGCATTCGCAAAATGCTTAAAATGGAATGTTTCTTCATTGTTCACATAACCACAAAAAATAAATAAACAAATAAAAACATTTACAAATCTATACACAGTTTGAAATTTAAAAATAACATTTCTATAACTTAAAGGGAACACAAGCAAAACATTTTATTAGCTGGAGTATTAGACATTCATCTAATGTTTTTTTAAATGTTATTACTAGTTTCAAAATATTAATAGAACATTCAAATGTAAAGTTTCGATAATGTTTGCAAAATGATAAAATGGAGTTTATAAACCGGAGAGTTCCGGTGCTTGATTCTGATTGGCTGAGCCGTGTTCGAAGCTGTTGTAAATGACTCTACAAAGTAACATACACCTTTGTTTACATTTGTGTGTTGCTCGGCAACCACTTTGTAGCAACCACAACTGTTTCTGAGGAGCTACATTGTTTGGTGGAAGAATACTGTTTTTATTAATATCATTACACTTTATTTGCTCTGTTTTATTTTGTGAAACCTTACTACGTATATGGAATAACCGTTTTATAAAAGCAATAACCCCTGTGAAGCCGTGATTTACAGTGAATTTAGCTGTAATAAATTCACTGTAAGCCACGGCTTCACGGGGGTTATTGCTTTAGTTCCTTTAACATTCGCATAACCACAAAAAAAAAGAAACATTTAAAAATCTTTACATTTTGAATGCTCGGATAACATTCAGAAATAACGTTTCTATAATTTAATGGGAACATTTGCAAAACATTCTTAGGACATTTTTGTTAGCTGTAGTAGTCTAATTTCTTTTAAATGTTGCAATGGTTAGAGAACATTCAATGGAATGGAATGTTTCCTTAACGTTTGCATAACCAAAAAAAAAAAAAAAAAAAAATTTAAAAAAAA